TTGGCCCAGCTTGGTGTCAGCTGCAAACTGACTGCGGGTGCACTCAATCCCCTCGATTATTTGTGGTGTTTTGTTTTAGCATCATTATGCAGGCTTTATTTATGTGACAGTAATCTTGCATACCACCCTCATACCATCATATTTATTGGATGCTGTGCTTCCAGGTTGCCTATACTTATTTTCCTAATTATTGAAGAACGAGTGCAGGTACATAAGATTTGTCAGGCTTCTTGTCAAATATATTTTAGAAAACTATGTGTATGCAAGGATTTCTCTTTTCTTATGACTTCTTTAAGTCTAAACCAAGATGGATTAATCCATCTTACTTGAACACACAAGGATGCAGAAACTTTAAATACTAATATGTTGCATACTTATTTTAAAAGAACAGCTGGTCTCATTATACTTTTAGTCTGGTTTTGGCAATTTCTTGTCAAATATATTTTAGAAAACTATGTGTATGCAAGGATTTCTCTTTTCTTATGACTTCTTTAAGTCTAAACCAAGATGGATTAATCCATCTTACTTGAACACACAAGGATGCAGAAACTTTAAATACTAATATGTTGCATACTTATTTTAAAAGAACAGCTGGTCTCATTATACTTTTAGTCTGGTTTTGGCAATGTTCCAGTTGAGTTTCTGCTGAAAGGTTACTTTGATCAGGATGATGCAGTCTTTTGCATTGCTGCTGTGTTTATTTGTGGTTATTTCTTGCTACAACTATTTAATGTTGACCAAAAGGATCATCCGTTCTTTTGTGCAAGTCTAATACTGCTTTAACGTGTGATGTGCAATTCTGTGACACTCTGCACTGTATTGTCTGGAAGCCCTTAGCTGCTCTTCTTTTTCTTTTTCCCCCACCACAATGTAGGTGTTCCAAGATGAGTGCCAACATGATTTTGCAAAAATTATAGAGGTCCAGGAGTTTTATTTTGTTGGATGTTTTTTGTTGCTTCACTCTGCACTGAACTGCAATTTAAACCATCTGATGTTTGCAAAGCAAGGCAAACACACTAAGATATCAGTAAGAAGTTGAAATTGGTACAGATAGAGTGAGTGGCCACCTATCGACCTGTTCCCATGGGTAATTTCCAAGCCTGCCAGAGATGAAAGTTAGGAGTTTTTGGTAGGTGGATGTGAGAGAAGATGGGATTTTTTAGCTAACTGGAGGATCATTTGCAAAAGTCAGTGCAATCTGAAGGAAGTGATGCTTTCATGAGAGAATGAGAGGGAGAATTCACCTCTGAATATTTAAGTCCTGCTACTTACACAGGTTTAGTTATTTCAAACTTTGTGTCACTGATCTACTGCAACTTCCTGTTCTGTCTCCCTTTTCTTGTAACTGTTCTTTTTTCCAGGGTTACGGTTTTAAATAACATGTTACTTTCAATATTGTAGTCAGGGTTGTGAAACTAGACCATGGGAGCCTCTAGAATTTGTCTTCCTCCCTCTGAAGCATGCAGTTGTAAAAGTCAGCTAGAGGCAGGTGCTTGCTCAGTTTTGGTGCTTTGTTCTTTCCTGCTGTACAGAACAAGAACGGGGTGAGAGATGGTTCTTCCCCTGAATTAGGTTGTATCACAGGCAGTGTCCTTTCTGCAATGGGAGAAAGAACAACAGCTTCGCAGTGATACTCTGACAGTGACAACCCCAGTACAAAGGGGATATCCTCATCCAAGATGAGGAACTAAGGGATGCTGTGAAACCAAAACATTTGGAAGAGCTGGATTTTTTTTTTACCTAGAACTGTACATTGTCTCTTGTAAAGAGAGCAAGAAGGGATTTACTTGAGTTTTCTTGTTTCTAGAGGACACCTCACGTGATGCCATCTGATGACTACTTACACTTTATGTAAATGTCTGTGAATGCATTGTCTGTCTGCAAAACTCAGTAAAACAAGTCATGTAGAGAGCAAGTTATTTTTGACCTGTTGCTGATTGTTAGTCATGTGAAACTTTCTTCAAATTATCAGAACTGTTCCTTGAGACTGGTGGTAAAAATAAACATAGGCTGTAAGTGTTGTTAGCCTGCTGGGCAGTGGTACAATAGAGTCTTTGTTCTTACAGAGTACTTAATTGTAAACTGGGGCATGAAACTATTGCCTTATGATTTAAGGAAAGGTGGGAACATACCAGGGTTTTTAAAGACCTTTAACGTGTGGACCGTTTGATTGTTCATTTATTTATATTTTTCAAATACAGTTCAAAATAAATATTGTGTCTACAGTCAAAATAATTTGTTCTTTGGAGTAAGCAAAAGTGTTGGAAATGTCAATTTCCTTCACAGAAAACATACACTGTGCATGTCTTTGGGAAGATGGCTGAATCCTGGAGCTGGTTATTGCAGCAGAAGGTTGTGAAGGAATGAGAAGTTGGATTTCACTTCACTGAAAAATGTTTCAGCAAGTGGTGAGAGCTCAAGGCTCTTTTCTGCTGTTATGCTAGCCTCTGGCATGCAGCTGATGCTGGTCACTGGCAAAACATCTTTTCCATAAAGATACCTTTATCACTGACAGCTGGGTTGGTCCATAAGGCTTGGTTAAGTGTGACGTCCTCTACTTCTTGGGTTCTTCCATGTACTGTTCTTGCACGCTGAGTAGAGCTACAGCAGTCAGATATCCCAGACTTGCTGTGTCAAGAGGATATTTGGAGTTGTTTAACTATTACCTTCAGATTCCTCTTGACTCTGGACAAGTCACAAGATACCGTATTGTCAAAATACTTACTATGTTGCTAGAATGCAGACCATTCACTGGGTTTAGGGGCAGCACATTAAGCTGAATATGAAAACTCTTTCTGGTTATCCACACAGCTGTCTAAGCATGGTTTGAAGTAAAAGCATTGTTGTTGTTATCACCATTGTTATTATTTACCTAAAGTCTCACTACTGTTTTATTTGGATTTAGGTATTCCCTCAAAGCATTCCTGTGATATGTACCTTTTTAATAACACTGTTAACTTCAGCAGTGGTTCTAAAGACCTATTGATGGTTTTCCCAGACCCCTGCCACTCCCAATTAGATGTGTTGATGACCCTAAGGAATAAGCTAGAAGGATTCTGTCCAGAAAGCAGAGGGAACCTGTTAATGACTATCACAGTGCTTAACTAGCCATGAACATAAATTTTAACTTGCTGTAATGCGTACACTCCTTTCTGGCACAGCAGGACTCTGTCTGTAGTGTATAAGGAAATTACATCCTCTTTCACATCAAAATACGTTGTCAATTATGCCTTACAGTAACATATAAATGAGAATAATGTATGGGTCTTAGTGGGTTTTGACTAGACTTAAGTGTCTAGTCTTGGACTGATAAAGGTTGAGAGGAAATTTACCCCAGGTCAGTTTTTGAAGAAAGCCGTAACAAAACAGTTATGGGTGGTTTTAGGTGTTTGGAGGACTAAGATACTAATTTCGATTTTAGTCATGTCGAGATGCAGATTGGGGGAGGGAGGCCACACAGGGTCTGAAGAGTCACTGACAAAGCTTTCTACAAGTAAATGAATCCTTTCAACTTTTTTCCAAAAGATGCAGTCGGGTGTTGTATGCTTGCTAACCTGTAGTTGTAACCATAGTTTGTGAAGATGTGGAGGAGGATTAAACATAAGAAGAGCAATATTTAAACTGAAGTGTAAGATTGTGAGATTGACAGAAGAAGAAATAGATACGAACTGCTTATGACTAAAATGGGAAGCATCAGAACTGTACTTGATCTCAGGAAGTGGTTTCCAGTACGCGTTCAGCTGCTGCTCAGAGTTCCTCATGGGTGTTACCAGTTGTCTGCTTTGACTTGCTTCCTATTAGTTGCACTACAGAAATAAAAATCTTGTCTTGATAAATGCAGTGCATTACTTCTATCAAGTGCTAATGCTCCAGGTTAGTTGCTTGATCTACATCTGGATAATAATTAACAGTGAAGATCAAAAGTCTCGGGCATCAGTAACTTAGAAGTGCAGCATCAAGTTGCTTGTCATCCTTGACTGACTGTTCATTGTGGACTCCCAGGGTTAGAAGTGCAAAAGTAAGGGGCAATGAACTAAAACGTGTGGGAGCAGGCCCAGATGTGGATGTTGGTGGAACGTGCAGTGGCCTTTTTATGCATGCCTGCATTGTGGCTTTTCAACAGCATCAAAGTTGCCCCTTTGCACTGAGCATGGATTTAGATATTTTTTCCGTATGTTGTCCTGTGGGTATACTCCTTAACAACTGTTACACGTTGAGATCCCTGTTGGCAGCTTTCTGTCTCTCACTTGTGTGTTAATTATTCAGCAGACCAAAATCAGTCAGACTTCTCTGTGAACCGTAAAACTCATCCAACCAATAGTGTCCTTTAGCTGGAAGAGTGCTGTCTTTGGTAATGACATAAATTAAAGTATTAAGCAGTTTTGTCATGGACTATTATGCAGTTGCATCACAAGCCAGACTGTCTTAATTATTCTTTACCCCATAGTGCCTCAGGCTGTGACGTCACAAAGCTAAACAAGGTCATGCTTGGCTAGGATGAGAGAAGTCAAACCAATTCAGTGCTACATGAAATATTAGTGATTCAGTAGGTGAGGTGACACCCCTGAGTTAATGTTTTCCCTGTGCCCTGCACTGGTAAAAGATGCTGCAACTTGTGTGATGAGATGTAAAACTGAAATCCTTTGTTAAAGTTGCAGTGCTGTTCCTGGTAAAAATGAAGATGTTAATTCAGGGTGCCTGCCCAAGTCAAGATTTTAATGGCTAGGTTCTCTACACATTTCTAATTTCTTTTTTAGTAGAGTCGTATTATTCTCTTGCTCCTGTCTTAAACAGTTCTTTGAGTTGTTAAGAAAGTTTGCGTTCCAGAGGTGCTGCCGTGTTTGCAATTGGCAACAGATCAATTTGCAGAAACAATGGGCCATTGTGAGATCTTTTGAAATCAAGGGGGTTATAGTCATGTAAGAAATGTCAGGCCAAAATTGAAAAGCTGCCAGATAGTTTTTCTTTCTTTCTTTCTTTCTTTCTTTTAATGTGTGCAGAACAGTTTTTTGGCTTGAATATACATATTTGCAACGTGGTTGGGTGTATTCACGCTTACATATTTTTATTTCCCATAGGATTCAAGTGCCCTGTATGTTCAAAATTTGTATCTTCTGATGAAATGGACTTACATCTTGTGATGTGTTTGACAAAACCAAGGATAACCTACAATGGTAAGAAAAGACTAAGCTGATAATTATTTATTCATTTTAAACATTGGAGTGGTAATAATTCTTTATTAAATAAAAGATAGTCTGGTAACTATTTCAGTGGGCCCGTAAACGATACATGGTTTTGTTTGTAGTTTTATTTTTTGAACTTAATTCCTAAGAACCTGGTCTTTCCTATACTGCATGCCAATATAGTTTACACTGTTGACTTTCTCAACAAATATAAATCATTCTTATTTGAGTGTGTTTATTCCACTTTTGACCACAAGATCAGATACGGATCTGTATGTGTTTAGGGTCCACTTGTGATATGTGTAGCTTAAATGTCTCATCAAATGACATCAAGTAGTGAGGTAGGTCAATCAAGCCTCCTTCTGGGGACATTGTAAAGGACTGTTACTTGACACACTGTGCATTTGCGTGTTATTGCAGCAAATGACCCTTTCTTGAAGGAGCTAAAGAAATTCCTCCTTCAGCTGATACCATATATGATACTTCATAAAGACTGTTAGATATATGTGTGTGTGTGTGTATTGTGGTGAAACTTGCCAGTGTGAGATGAATCACCTGTGTTAGCTCTGGTTTTTTCCCTACTACTAAGCTCTCCTTCTAGGCAACTTTTGATGCAAGGCAAACAGGACTTTGGTCACTGTTAGGATCAGATCTGTCTATCACTATGGCTTAGGCTGAAACTCAGTTCTGTAATAAGCACATAACAAAGGTTTCAGAAAATTAGGAATTAGGAAATCTTAGTGCCTACTTTGGCAGAGCTGCCCTACCATCAGGAAATTGTACAGTGCCTCCTGGATTGCTTACCAGTCATTAGATGTGGAATATGTGAGAACAGAACACAATCAGAAAGGAACTGTAGAGGAGAGGGAGTCAGGCTCTTTTAGGAGGTGCTCAGCAAAAAGTTGAGAGTCAGTGGTCGCAAGTTGCATCAGGGAAAAATGTGTTTCAATGTAGGGTAGAAATGCCATATAGTGAGGGTTAGCTGGCACCTGAAGAGGTTGTGCAACCTCCATCCTTGGAGATGATCAGAAATTGACTGAACAAGGCCTTGAGCAACTTTAGTCTAACCTGGTTCTGCTTTGAGTGAGTGGCTGGACCAGAAGACCTCCAAAGATTCCTTCCAACGTAAGATATTTAGTGCATAAATAACCTGCAGTATTATGGGCTCTTTGACCCTCCTGGCCCCTTGCTGTTATGGTAACCTACACTGGAATTTTTTGTTGGAACGGGTCTTAAAGGATGGTTAGACCCACCTTATTCTTTGTCTGGGTAGCAATAATGCTGGCCCTTAGTTGCAAAAACAATTGGAAATCATAGAGTTGTGAAATCCATTTCAAAGCACAGCACTCAGGAAAAGCAAACGTGGTGGTTTGTTGGTTTTTTTTTTTTTCCCTCATGGTGTTACCACAGCTATATGTGAAAAGGTTGACTTCATCTAACAGAGGGGGCTTTGTCTCTCTTTGTTTTGCCTCTTTTAATTTAGGACTGAGTGTTTTCCAAGGTAAGTTGGTAGAAATCTGTGTGCTGAGGGATGTCGACCATGAGGGAGAAGCAGGCCAGTCTCCCCAGTCAGGGAGAGACAGTGCACGTGGGATCAGTTGGGGTGGAGCAGGAGGAGGCAAGCTGTGGCAGGAATCCAGCTGATGGGATGTGCACAAGTTAGGAGTTGACTGGCTGAAATCCTTTGCCACTGATGCTTCCTGTCTGTACATGTGAACACACACAGCTGGCTTAACTGGAAGATGCAGCAATTACGTAATGTAACCTCTTGGTATTGATTGTGATGTTAATTTGTATCCCAACGTTGCCATATTCAGACTCTGGGTTTTATCCTGCACTGTTGCTCTCAGATGTCACACTGCTGGTTGGAGCTCCTTTGGACCATCTTGTTACCTCTGTGCAGTCTGTTGGTCAACAAACTTCCATAAAAATGAGTAAAGTAAAACCAGTGAGTGGCAGAAGCCACTGGATAATCTGGATACACAACAAAAGCCAACAAGGCAATATGAGTTACTACCAGCAACGTGTCATTTCACACTTTAGGAGTGTCTGCTGTATAGAGAGCCTCAGAAACTCATTTTAGGAAATTTTTATGTAAGCTTGAAAGGAGAAAACTACCAAATTACCTAGACTGGTTGGAGAGAGACGCTTACTTAAAAGTACAGTCTCATTCTCATAAACACTGAATAGAAGTTGTCATGCTTTAGGCCCAGCTGGCAACTAAGCACCAGGCAGCCACCCACTCCTCCCCCATTGTGGGATGGGGAGGACAAAATGCAAGGAAAAGCTCCTAGATTGAGGCAAGGACAGGGAGGGAGGGATCACTCACTGGTTGTGCTCATGGGCAAAACAAGAGTTGACTTGGGGAAGAAAAATCAATTTAATTTGTTACCAATTAAATAATAGGATAATGAGAGAGAAACCCAGATCTTAAAATACCTTCCCCCACCCCTCCCTTCTTCCCAAGCTCAGCTTTGCTCCCCATTTTTCTGTCTCCTCCCCCCCAGCAGCACAGAGGGATGGGGAATGGGGGTTGGGGTCAGTCCATCACACAATGTCTCTGCCGCTCCTTCCTCCCCAGGGGAGGATCCTCACACTCTGCCCCTGCTCCAGCGTGGGGTCCCTCCCACGGGAGACAGTACTCCATGGACTTCTCCCACATAAGCCCTTCCCACGGGCTGCAGTTCTTCACAAACTGCTCCAGTGTGGTCCCTCCCATGGAGTGCAGTCCATCCTTCAGGAGCAGCCTGCTCCAGCCTGGACTGCCCATGGAGTCATAGGCTCTTCAGGCACAGCCACCTGCTCTGGTGTGGGGCCCTCCCCGGGCTGCAGGGGGGTCTCTGCTCCCCCGTGACCCTCCATGGCTGCAGGGCACAGCCTGCCCTCTCACCACGGGCTGCAAGGGAACCTCTGCTCCGGCCACCTCCTCCCCTGCCTTTCCTCACTGACCTGGGGGTCTGCCTGGTTGTCTGTCTCACACCCCACTCCTTTCTCCGCTGCTGATTCCCCAGCAGATTATTTCCCCCCCTCCTTAAATACATTATCCCAGAGGCTCTACCACTAGTGCTGACTGGCTCAGCATTGGCCAGAGGTGGGTCCAACTTGGAGCCAGGGAAGCTTCTAGCCCTGTGGCCCTTCCCCTGCTCCTAAAACCTTGCCTCACAAATCCAGTACAGAAGGGTGCATTGATCCTTGTAACTCCAGTTGGTTAGCTCGTGGACTAAATCTTAGATTATAGCCTATAGCAGGTTGTTTTAAATTAGTGCAGCACAAAGAAATTGTGGATATGCCTTCAGAGTCGTGCAGTTCTCAGTTGTTGCTCTGTGGTATGATTGTGATCCCTTTCATGAGGCTAATGAAAGAGAATTAACTGGCAGATCAGTAACTCAGTGCTGCCATGATTACATGCCTAGAATTGCATATGAATGGTTACATGCAATGCTTTTCTTTCTTGTATTCTTTTGCTGTTTGCCATGAAGGAGATAAGTGATGGAACTGCCATGTGGTCACACGCCATAAGAAGGGCATCTCAAGTTTTGCTTGAGAGAAGAAAAAAAACCTGCTATCAACTTGTGATACCTTCTTCCAAAGTGGAAGGCATCTCTTTATTCTTTACTTTCTCACTGTTATCTTGGCCTTATGCCATGCATACTCAAGCAGAGCCAAGGAGACATCATTTGCTTGTGTTGGTGACTGGTGGGTCCCAGTCCTATTACTGCTAGCAGGAAAAAGATCTCCCTCCCTCCTGCCTCTTTTCTCTGAATTTTGTGTTGCAAGTATTTTAGGGGAGTCTTCGACTTTGCACATGTTGAGATGTTTAAACACTGAGCAGTTGGACTGAACTGTGCTTATGTCTAGTCTGTTCTATCCTCATGATACTGTATATGTATTAATTGTTCTTTCTAAGAAACAGCAGGGAGCAAATTGTATGTCAGTCTGAGAAGACAGACCTCCTTTCTTTTTAAACGTGAGTCTGAGGCATACAGTCTTCCCCAGAAAAATGTTTAGTTGTCATTTGAAGTTTAAAAAAATTAATGAGCCCTCCCAGCCAATCTGTAATTGCTTTCTGAGCTACCTTTGTGCATCGCATTTGGCAGCAGGAAGGGTCAGTGAACTGCAAACTCTGGCAGCTGTCTGATTTACATGTGTTTTCTGAAAGAGAGTGGTCACAAACTTGTCCCAGTTCTATGCTGAAAAGTTGTGCTGATTTTCATATAAATAAATCAGTACATTTTATTAGCCTTATTCTTTCAAAATCATGTGACTTGCCTGCAACAGAGATCTCATTGCTGACTCAGTTTGGCATGTAAAAAGAGCTCTTTCTTTTTTCTGTGGAACTTTGTTCCACGTCTCTTAAACTACTTGTGGTGCTCACACATGAACCGTTATCTAGGCGTTTTGATACAAAAGCTGGTTAAATGAATGGAATTGTGCAAAAGCATTGTGGTGTTTGGTGTTATTGTCTTAAATAGCTTTGCTTCTTGTAGCAGTTAAAAACTCTTTTCATACTGTTGCTTGCTGAGGAGCCAGAGTAGGTCCCATGCACTGGTCAGCCACAGGTTGCCAAAAGCCAGTTTTATGAAGAAAGCGTGTTACTTGCTAGTTGAACGATTTTTTTTTTTTTTGAGAGCTACTGCTAAAATATTCTGTAGCCAGACGTGTTCCTTCGAGCTTCTCCCCAGCACTAAGTGAGGCCCCTGGCACCATCTGGTTCAGGTTTGCCATGGTGAGTTAGGCAGGGAGCCCACCTAAGGACTGCTCTGCAGAAGATGTTGCCTAGAAGGTAGCCCTGGGTTTTGGTCAGGCAGGGGCGTTGACTTGGGTTTCCTCAGTGCTTCAGAAGCAACTTACCTTGAACTTCTTGCTGATGATTAGACCTGTCTGGTGAAGTTTACATTTTGAATATGATTATGGTACATTTGGTGTTGCTACAGTAATGAGGCTTTTTTTTTCCCCCCCACTGGAAGATGAGGTATAAAAATTGAGGAGAC